CTATCTTAAACCAGAATCCCATCCAAATCATAAATTGCAGGGCTTTAAAACATTGCTCCCACTTGTAAGAGTTCTACCATTCATTTAGTCTAGGTAAATTTTAAAATAAAATATTATTAGAACTCCAAATTTGGGGACTCTTTGGATAGATAGATTTAAGAGTTAAAGAATTAAGATTTATTTATTTATTTATTTTAAAATTATCTGTTATTTTTAAGTAGATCCAAAATTTTCAGACCCAAAAATTCTCCTAAGTATTATTTTCAATATTATTTTATAAAATGTGTAGTTTAAGGTGACAACCTTATTCGTAGGGATGTATCCAAATACTGTTTATTTTAGTTAGACGATATACATTTGACATGTCTTTCAAGATAACGTAAAATTTATACATTCCAATTAAAATAGACGATATAGATTACTACAAATATAGTTATATAAACTTTTTCCTATTAACCATCAATATACTTTTTTTAAATATTCATCATTAAAATACGGCTGTAGAGCACTTAATATCACTCAAAAAGTTATTGCCCTTTGAAATTGGGGGGGCCGGGGGGGCAAATATAATTAAAGCGCTCAAATGTTGGTACAAAATCATGGAAAGATCCCAATTGTACAAAGAAAGGCAACCTGTCAAACGGCTTGTGAAATGTTCCCAAATTATCCCTATTTGGGGATGGCAATCCTAAACAATCAGGCCACTTTAGGATATGTTTCATGGTACCGTGATATCCTGATATTTAGGGAACCTGTAGAATATATAATAATATTGATTTTAAAAGATATTGAAAGGGACGAGAATCTAAGGACTGCCAAACTTGCATAAAAGAGGATTTATTAGAATAATATTCAATTCAGAACTATGCAAAACGGCCAATGGCTTTATTCATATTTTTATAAATTTGAATATGTATGTTCTATTTTGTTAAACAGAGCTTACTAATTTGGCTCCACTTAAGTGGCTCAAGCCAAATTATGATAATGTCCCCGGTTGTTCAGGGTTAGCAATACAAAGTCACTTTTTTCATTGAAAAATCTTGCTCTATTTTTTCAACCCTGAAAATCTAGGGGAACTATTATAATTTATGTAGAACCACTTAAGTAGAGTCAAATTACCAAAATACACTTAATTATTCAAGGTTCCCAACCTTGATACAATTAATTTAAGAATTTCTAAGAAAATTTTTAGAGGAAACCTTTATGAGAAACATACCAAGTAAGTCCCAAGGCTTGCAATGGGCCAGGCAGCCCGGCAATCCGTGCAGCCCTAAAACACTTGGACTTGGACCACAAAACATGGCATGAGGGCTAAGCCACAATAGCCTGAAGTAGGACCAAGTTTTACTTGGACCTAAACCTAGCCTGAGGCCAAGACAGGGCTGACCCGGTTTGCCTTTTTTCCCTTATATTTTTACTGTTTTCTTTGAGTGTATAAGACACGACTTAGCCCGAATAGGGCCACAGCTTCTTCGTGGCCCTGGAGCCCTACATCGTTAAGTGGGATCTTGGATCATTTAATAACGTTATGAATAATTTTAGCCCTTTAATGTTATTTTCCAAATTTTAAATGGTGCACAAGTAGTTTTTGGTTTAGTTAAAGGAAAACACTTTTATATAGTTGAGGCTCTAAATAATCAAATTAAAGCCCACCTCAAAAATTTAACTAGAAGAGGTTGTTTTGATGGTCAAATATCTTCAAATTGATCATCTCGATACCAAGATGCATGGACCTGAGAAAAAAATAGATTCTAAATTTTGGAAATAGTGCTTCTTGTAACACATTTTTTCATTGTCAATTTTCAAGATTTTCAAGTTTTCATAGATCCGTTCGATCTACATTATTTTTAAAGCTTTAAATTTTATAATTAAATATGAAAATATATTTTAAGGCTATCACAAAGATCTCCAGTATTAAAACCATATTTCTTGACACTATTTGAAGGTGTGCTTTACTTTATCTCCAGTATTAAAACCATATTTTTTGACACTATTTGAAGGTGTGCTTTACTTTAGAGTCTCCGCTTTATACATACCGCACCCATCTCATCTATTTCTACATTGTTTAGCTGCAAAGGAGCTTGGACAAACTCTACAAAAGGATGGCTCGCAGTGTTTTTGCCAAGAACAGTGTCCTTTAGCAATTGAAACCTCACCTTATGGTAAAATTGGTAATGCCCTTTGGCGTGTATTGGTGGCAGCTCTGTTTTGACATACATGGAGAGAACAAATTTGTAAAACTTTTGATGGTAATGTGGGTGGAATTCAGGCCCTAAAATATAAAAAATCATGGTGATTGTGGCAAGTAGGGATGGTGTAATCCAGGAGTGTGATTGGATCACAAGAACAAAAGTTACTGAAAACTTTCCTGAGGCTTTAACGCTGAGACAAGATGGAATCAGGGTTACTTTCCTGAGGCTTAAACGCTGAGACAAGAAGGCTTTAACGCTGAGACAAAAATAGTATAAAGTTAAAGAAAAAAGAAAATGGGGCCACTAACTAGAAGAAATACCAATAATGGGTCATTACCCTTTACAAAATCAGGGGTTTCAAAGATCCTCAATGAACATAGATGATTTGCTTTTTTTATTTTTATTTCACTCTGCTATTTCCTCAAAAGTACCTTTAGAGATACCTAAATTGTCCCTATTCAAATTTGGAAATCCTGAATAAGCATGAGCATTTTAATAATTTAACCTATCTAAGGGCCCCAACCAAATTATGGAAGTATACATGCTTGTTCAAGGTGGCTCAAATTATTGAAATGACATTGTTTGTTCAAAGTTCTCAACCTTAAATAAGGGTAATTTGGGTAATTTTATTATATTTTAGGTTTTTACCGATATTTTCCTTAATAATAATAATTTGTGTTCTCGTCTCACATGAAATTTTTTATGCAATGTGTGCTGAGAGAGGACTATAGTGCTTAGTCGATGCAAAAGTGTTCAGGGATTCCGCCGGTTACTCAGCCTTAGCCATAAGCTAAGGCGAGTTCCCATGTACCACCTTAGGCACATGGGAAAGCATACAATATTTGAGAGAGTATTATTTATACTCATCCAAGTACTATATATCTTAGAGTTACTTGCCCAAATTCTACAGAACTCAGGTGAGTATGAATAGTACTCACTAGAGCATTGTTAATCTAATAAAAGGGGGCACCACCCCATTACTTCATTTCTCCCTCTCTCTAAAATGGGGGGAGCTATCCCCATTTCATGTCTTTATCTATCTAGAAATCCCTCCACAGAATCTCCTCTTCTCTCTCTTCTTCTCTAATTAATAGTCTCAAGCTTAACCATGAATCGAACACTCTCTGTCTTATAGACACAAGGATGGAGCTCTACCATTCTTTCTCAGCTCTGTCCCTCTTTATAAAAGGGGGCACATCTTTACTTTTAAGAGGGGGAAGAAATATGTGTCATTTTCAAAAGGCCGAAATCTGCCTCTTAATATATATATATATATAAAGAGAGGAAAAGTCTTCCCAACGTTTATAGGTGGAAATGAATAGTATTTTCGTCTACCCTCATTACTGTCTAAATTTCATTGCGCGGTCACGATTGTTCGATAGTGTTTTATTTTTTATTTTTTTTTTTACAAATCAGAATGATCTGAAATTTGGAGAGTATGTATATCTTATTGAGGCGCATCTAATAAAACT